GGGGCTCATTTGTGAGCTAGCTGGGATGATGGGAGAACAGTGATTGGACAGGACAAGGAAGGCAAGAAGAGCAAAGGCACAAAGACTCACAAAAGCGTTACAGAGCAAAGGGAGAGAGGGACTATAGGGCTGCCAGTATAGGGCTGTTAATTTATTACAGCAGACAACAGATTCTACTGCATAAGGAGCTTACCACAGGACTCCTGGTGTAATTTATACAAGATACAAGAAGGGATGCATGTAGTACATGACAGCAACCTGTAATTTATCTGATCTGATAAAAGAGAAGCTGGATAAGGAGCTCCTGGTTTGGCATGAAGCTGCCACCATCGGCGTGCACTTACATATATTGGTCTGCGGGTGGTGCTGTTTGCAGGTGTCTCGGAATGAGGAGCTGAGTGCAGAGCTGCTGGGGCTGGCGCGGGCGCAGGACGACCTTCTGAAGCAGCAGGAGAGCCAGGCCCGGACCCGGGCGCTGTACGGCGAGGCCGCCCAGGAGCTGGAGAGAGTGCGGGCAGTGGTCAGCCGTCTGTCCCAGCGCAGAGTTAGGGTGAGTCCGTGCTGGTGATCATAAATATGAAGCTGAAACCAAGAGACACTTCTAGACACCTGGGGATGCTGAAACGATGATTCCCGCATTTAAGAGAATAAATTGTTGTTGAGGCATTTAACATCATCTTAAATCTTAAATTTAAGCAAAAGCCCACAAACTGTTTGGAACTGTCCTAAAATTCTTGTACTTTTACATTCGTTATAAAGAGGTGCCTGCAGCCTCGGGATCCTGTGTACAAATGTAATGGGCTGTTTTAATAATATATAATAATAATACCGCTCATCTCTTTGTGCAGCCAGAGCATCTAGCATCATTGGAGCAGGAGCGCAGGACACTGGAGAAAAGCGTGAGTCTACTGCTAGTGGCATCAGTGTTGTGAAAAAGAGGTTCTGTCTGTCCTCGCTGAGGGACTGCGGGGCTCTTTTTTAATGCAGTAACACAAATGTTTGGTACACATGGCCCCTGAAAGGCCTCAGGCCAGCAGCTTCAATGCAATGACCCCCGGAAAAACAGAACCCCCCACCCACCCCCTGTACCTACAGATATCCGCGCTTAATGGTTTCAGCACAGTGAAAATCCTCTCTTAATTCCAGGAGCTCTTGATCAAGCTTCATCGGATTGGCGATGGTAAGAAAGTAAAGGAAAAGTATTTAATCTGTTACAATCGTGATTGCTGATGAATATACGCGAGTCATACTTGTACTATTTCCTGTGTGTGTCCATGTCCAGGACCACTCTCACTCAAGTCCTTTTCAGCAGGAAAGTTTGACAGAAGCATAAGGGTTTCATTTCAAAGGGGAACCGAGTTTATTGAAGATTAAGCTATGACGTCTCAAAATAAATAACAACCCAGTGTTTTAAATACTCGCCCTGCAGTTTCCTGCTGT